TTTTCTTTTTTACAGGTTAGTATTATTAAAATCTGATTTCAGTGCACCCTACTCTCTCCCTCTGTAGGCTCACACCATGTATCAGGTGGGTCTGATGGAGACAGACCAGCACATCGAGTTCTTCTGGACCGCCCTGGAGATGTTCACTCAGGAGGAGCTCTGCAAGTTCATCAAATTTGCCTGCAACCAAGAGCGCATCCCGTTCACCTGCCCCTGCAAGGACGGGGGGCCCGACACTGCCCACGTTCCCCCCTACCCAATGAAGATCGCCCCTCCTGATGGAGCTGCAGGTAACGGCTTACGAGGTTCCAACAGCGCTGTGATTGGACACGAGGGCTGCTATCTCTGTGTGATGTTCTTCTTAGTGCTGTTGGTGCAGAAACTACTGATAGTGATTATCAAAGCAGCTCATGTTGTCTTGCAACCTTAGGCAGACTTTGAACATGTTGTTTGTCATGTTTTTGTAAATTAGTAGGTGTGTATCACGGAGATATACTCAGCAGTTCCATGTAGAAAGACACAATGTTAATTCTGATACCGTATGAGATCCTCACATTCGCAGAAGCGGGACCTATCTGAATTACTATTTTAAGTCACAGGCTAAATCAGTCTACTAGGGTTTACTACAGATAAGATAGCTTAACACTCTTACTCACTTTTATCACTAGACGAGCTTATTATCACTTGCTACACAGCCTTCTGGCCACATTCGGCAGAACCATGAAAAACTCCAGTGGTAAACGTGCATTACAAGACTCATTATGGAAGAGCAGCCCTCAGTGATTTTGTTGTAACACACCTTCCTGTTTTTCTGCTCTCCAGGTCAGCCAGACTCGCGCTACATTCGCGTGGAGACCTGTATGTTCATGGTGAAACTGCCCCAGTACACCTCTTTGGATGTGATGCTGGAGAAACTGCGATACGCCATCCACTACCGCGAGGATCCTCTCAGCGGCTAAGAAGACTTGACAACCCGACGTTCCCAAGCGTGTATACCTGCCCCCCACCCCCCACCCACCCACTCTTACTTTTGACCCCTTCCTCCCTTCACCCCCACACTCCCGGACCCTCCTCTAAAACAGACCTTTATGCTCTGCTGCTCCAAAAAAAACACAAATTTAATTCAACCTTTTTTTTAGGTGGCTATTAATGTTTTGCATGTTAATCCCTGCTTCTTCTTCTTTTTTTTAAATTGCAGTTTACATAAATACTACATCTCATGATTATGTTTGATGCATATTTTTTGAGGAATTCAGGGAAGATAATCTGAATTAACATTGACACAGATAACAAGTGTCTGTTATGGATGCACTGAATTTGAGGATGGCATTGAGGTGAAGCAACTGTGACACCGTTCTTTTGTTTTCCGTTCACCTTTTCCCTTCCCCTAACTTTAACCGAAGGTTCAACAAGGTTCAGTCAAGTTCTGTGAATTTAGCAACTTAACATGATGACTTCATATCAGCACTTTACAGTCGCAAGTTCAATTCATGATCGCTGAACTCTCAAGTGTGGTCTCAGCTAAACTAGCTCCTCTCTGAGTTGTTTCTGTAAAGGCAACAAACAAACTGTTATTCTCCTGTTGCTTAACCTAGCTGCCTCCCTCTGTCCCCCCCGTCTGTGGGGGTGATGTTCTGAAACATGCCTTTGCTGTACAGTAGGACCCTCTCTCTAGAGGGCGATGCTGGTTGGTGCGTGATAAGAAAAACCCAAATGATTTTCACAGAATTATCTGATGTTTGAGATGGAGGTACTACTACTACCAAAAAAAAAAGGAAATGTGTGATGCTGCCTATTTTTTGGCCATGACAGCTATGAGCAGGCAGAAGATATGAACAAGTGCTGTACAGGATATTATGTAGTTTACTGCCTGTTTTAAAAAAAAAAAAAAAAAAAAAAAAAAAATATGAACTGCTAATGGACAAACTAACTTATGCCTATATAAACTGAATACATTTTATTCAAGTCTCTGAAGAGAGGGTATTTAAGTCATGTAAAAAAAAGTCATATTAATCTATTTGTTTATGAAATTGCTCTTTGATTTTTCGATATCCAAGTAGCTGTGGACGCATGGTAGGTCAGGTAGATTGGACGATAAGAGAGGCCTGCTGGTTCTGATAAACTTACACTTCAGGTTTGTGAAACCAGTGTCGCTTTGTGAAAATGGGAAGGAGACGATGTTCTCATGAGCTGCTCTCCCACGTTGTTTGTGTGCTACTGCTACTGAATGTGCAACAAATCCCACCCCCCACCCCTTGATTCCCCAACATACACAATCTACACACATACACCGGGGAAGGGGCGGTGGATTATCTTGAGTTCTGCCTTTTCATAGTTTTCTTTAATGAAAGATGAACAGGATTCTGCTGTTTTTTTAATTTTACCCATAACCAAATGTTTAGCTTTGTAAAAATTAAATAGAAAAAAAAATGTAAATAGACTGAAGTTATGTTTGATGGCAGTTTTTATTAATTGCTAATTCACTTCACCTTATAATTTCTGTTTTTTGTTTGCACTACTCTTCCAAGAAAAGATTCTAAAATGAGCAAACTAGGTGATGTCTGTTGGATATCCAGTTTGTTGTGTTGTTATTTTTTATGAATTTTGGAAATACCAGTAATCTTATCACCTTTGTCTTGTACTCAGATGGAATCAATTTCTTCTACTCATGGTGAAACATGTTTTCTTGTGTGAGTAAAATCGCCATTTTACTTGGATAGAACTGAAAAACAACAGAATTGATATTTGACGCATATTGGGTTGTTGAATTGCTTGCGAGTTTTGGTTTTGGTTCAGTTCTTTTGAAGGGTGATATACCGCTGCTAACAGGGATGCTCTCTCTTCTACTTCCTCCTCTGGCGGGGGAGTAGATAAGGTTAGAAAAAGGACATATCCATACAAAGAGGTGTTGCGATAAAACGTGTGCTGTACATTTACTTGATATTTATTACAATTATTTATGGTTGCATTAACTTAACTTTTACTGTCTTACCTCTGCACATCAGAAACTTAACATATCTAAAATGGATTATACAGATGTAAAGAATCAGATGGCATTTGAGATTTCTGTGTCACAATAAAGAAATGTCTTCATGTACAAACACTGTTTGACTGTCCCGCTTTATGTATTTCACATATTGCTCAGATAAACATTCAAAGTGGTTGGGAAAACATGTCTCATAAACTGATGTTTTCTACTCCAAAATCCACCCCAAAATGGGCCATTTGACCGTTGACATGGGCGGGCGGACTTGCCTGCTACATGTCCACACAGACAATGAATGTTTATCATGACGAATGATGCCTGTGAAACATGTTTTGTCTCCTTTAGGACACGATCTTTATGTAAGGCCCCACAACCAACTCTGGTTACATCACCACTGGCTGTAAACCAGACACCTTTTCAAAGCAGCAAGTGCTGGGCCAGGCCAGTTCTAGCTGGATCTCTAGTCACTGCTCACTGAGTCACACTATCCCTTCAGCTCCATTATGTGCTATATTCAAAGGGAACTATGTACAGCCGTAGGAGTAGTGTTTAAAGCAGACTGTATATAAATAGGTTTAAACAGTTTTGTCAGCAGAAATTCGATGTATTTGATATTTATGTGTTACACCGCAAACTCAGTTTATATGAGTTATGTATTGTGTGTATGGCTCCCCCAGCTGAACTATACTGTGGAGCACCGGTGGTGTGTCACTCAGAACAGTGTGGCTCATGTACAGTGGATGAGTTTTCTCAGAAAATTATTTAGTAATAATAAAAACATCAGTCTAACACCTCATATTTTATTTGAAGTAAGATTTCTCATTTGTAACACCAAGTCTACGACACTAGCCAGGAGGAATTCTCGGAATGTCTCCAGCATGTTGACTAGTCAGTTTCCAAAGAACCAGTCATCTGTCCCTCACATACAGCTGTCCCCCCTCTTTCTTTCTGACATAAGGACCCTCCACCCCTAAGTCTGTGACCACCAGACCAATGTGCAGCTTGGAAAAGTGCCACATCCCTAATGATCCAGCCAATTGAGCGCTCCAGACATTGCAGTGTATTCAGAAGGCATGGATACGTCTGCTGTGGTCATGCGACATGCGACTGACCCATTAACAGCTTCTTTAGCAACCCGAAGGTCTTAAAGTCAGTGAAGCCACTCGACTTGGCTGGAATACAGTGCTGTGTAACGTAATCCTCACTCTAGAAGTAGTGCAAGACATGGACACATGCTCTCTGTGTTGACTGAATTCACTTACTGCTGTATGAAAAATTAGAGGTCAAATTCAAAACTTTATGATTTACTCATTCATAGTCAGTCATAAAGGATCACAGCTGCTCAGGGATGTAATTGTGAGTGCGTCGTGCCTGCCAAAGCACTCCCCTAAGGTGTGAGGAACTTGAACAAATTGTTGTACAATGAATAATTTAATGGTATGGAAGAGATTGTTATTAAGATGGAGCTCAAATAATAACTTCACATAAGCACTGTTTAAACATCCCTTTATCAGAAGTTATGCCAAAGGGCTTCACATAGCAAATGCAATACTTATATATATATGGCATGTAGACATATAGAATGCACATCTTATATACTGAAGTACTTTTCTTTTGATGTGTGTTTTCAAGGCTGCAATTTATTAACATTTCTAAAATCGGTTTGGAGAGTGGTCGACCTTGATATGTCTGGTTATTAAAGACAGAGTATAAAGATATACTATATACTGTAAATATCATCCTGGCCGATTTATCACTTACAATAGGAGGCAAACATGAGCCAGAAGTCCATTCATGATATTCTGTATGATACTTCATGTGAATAAGTGGTTCGATCTGTAATTTTACACACCATCTGCAGCCAGGAATGACACAGGAAAATGATTCTTCAGGCAGAATATTCAGAAATATAATTTATTAATTTTTAAATACATCTCAAAAGTACAAAAGCAGAAGAACATTTTACAAAGCAAGCATGCTAAATACAAATGTGAATGCAACCTAAATGTGTCAGTCTATAGAGGTCTCTCTAGTCACAAACTACCTCTACCAGAGCAGCGTCACAACTACAACATTTTTAAAAGATAAAAAAAAAAATCCCTCCAGCTGCTCGCACTCACATTTGTCAGTCTCAGGAGATTTTCACAGTCTGGAATGATTTAGTCAGTGGAGCACATCGACAATGAGATTAAGGATTGAGACCAACTGATGGAGGAATAGAAGAAAGGTCAGAAAGACCACAGGTAGTCGGCCATGCTAGATAATACCCAGCTGTTTTTTCAGCCTCCACAATTGCCCCATGCTGATGTTGTTGCCTCCGCACACCACGATGACCACAGGGCCAAGGTGCTGAGCCAGCTTGCCCTCATCCTGCAGCCTTTTGATAATACCACTGTACACAGCTGCCAGGGCGGCACCACAGGCAGGCTCCACCAGGACCTTCTCGTCATCTGCAGAGAGAGAAGATACCAGAGGAGATCAGTCTCACGGCTGATTTTTGTCATTTTAGATCTAGTGCACATCTGTCCGGGTGTGGGTCGTACTCACCTACAAAGTGTTCGACGGCTTTTACAGCCTCCTGGTCTGTGACTACCTCTGAGAAAACTGTGTGCTCCTCCACCAGTTTCATAGTCTGTGCAGAGACCCGTGTCAGGCCCAGTGTGGTCGCAACACTGGGGAGCAAAACAAAAAGGTCAGTTTTCACCTCAAGAAGAGGTAATGTAGAGACAAACGCCAGACCAGACAGTGTCATTATTTGGATGTAATAGCATTTATGATTAGGTCATACACAATACCTGGTAATTGCAGGTAAAGTGACCAGCTCTCCAGCCTTCATGGCTGCATTGAGGCTATGTGCTCCCATGGTTTCCATGGCTACAATAGGTACATCAGCCCAGTCAGCACGACGCAGTCCCTCCACCACTCCGTTCAGTAGGCCTCCACCTCCCACCGACAGCACTATGGCTCCTGGCTTCTCCCTCAGGTCTTGCTCCAGCTCCTTCACCAGAGATGTATGGCCTTCCCTGCACACACAAACACAACACAGTCCTGTCAGTCTCCTAGAAATGTATTCATTTTTTTTAAATCAATTTATTAATTCTTAAATGTAGACAGCTTCATTTTTCTTTCTCCTTCAAGGCAGCACTTCTTTCTGCAATGCAAGTGCGTCATAAAATGTTGATCTTATCTTATTGTAAGTAGCCCGTGATGTCAGGGATTTATGGATGTGTTTAACTATTCGACTGTGACGTCTAATGTGTAAATGAATTATCTGGCAACCTCTTTAGTTAAGTCTGTGATAAGATACAGTGTATCTGACATAACACCTGATCCAACCCTTTCAACTGTTCTATACATGAGTACGAATGACAGAATGTGATATGACAGGTGTCACTATCAGTCGTTTGTGCTTTGTAAAACAATTTAATTTCCTTTAGTGTAGAGAAGAAACTGTCTTATCACTGCCTCCCCCTCTATTTCCTGATGACAGAGAGATTACTATGGGAGGATTTGTTCAGAGAGCACATAGTGATGCTGACACAGTCCCTGAGGGACAGACACACAGAGACTGTCTTACCAGATGAGGGGGTCATCAAACGGAGAGATGAATATCCACCCAGGGTTATTTGCCACAAGCTGTTGTCCATATTCAATGCTTTCATTTAGAGCCTGACAAAGACAAGGCACACATTTGTTCGATGTGAAGAATTAACGTTATTCTAAGAGCATATAAAAATAAGAAAATAATAATATGTGCAAAATGTAACCAGAATCCACCATATCTTTTAATTTAAAAAGTGATATGATTGATGTGAAGAATGAACTAACCTTTCCATGGATGACCACAGTGGCACCCTCGTCCCTCAGCCTCTCCACTGTGGGATTTGGTGTGACACTTGGAACTACTATGGTAGCAGGTACCCCGAGCTGGCGGGCAGAATAAGCTGCTGCCATACCAGCATTTCCTCCTGTTGGGACCAAAAGTTTCAACGATTACACACTCAAACAGGGCCAGAGATAATTATTAAATAGATTTTTTCTTCTTTTTTTTTCTATTTTTTCTTTGGTGCTCACCTGAACAGCAGACAAACCGCTCACATCCTCGCTCTGCCCACTATATGAAAAAAAACAAAACAAAAGAGACATTACAGTCAAAAATCACAGCGACCCAGTGTTCAGATTAGAGATGACACACTTAAACTGGTCCATACTGGCTCCTCTGGATCTATGCCAATCACCCCAGCCTCAACTTCATCAACACAAACCTCCTTCAAAAACAGAACTACATCATGAAATCATATCATCTCAGAGGAGAAGAAAATGACTCACAGTTTTGCAGAGGTGGCCGATGCCCCTGATCTTAAAGGATCCTGTGGGCTGAGATGAATCCAGCTTGAGGTAAACAGAGGTCCCAGCCACTTTGGTCAAGGCAAGGCTCTGCCTCACAGGTGTGGCCACATGAAGAGGTTGCTGGGTCTTCATCTCACTGTGAAAAAGACAAGCAATAGAAAAGTGCCAAATAATTCAAAACATTGAGCTGATAAAAGAAACATTTGCAAATGTCATTTTTCAAAAACAAAAAGTAAACATAGGTGATTTATTTTCATGTTTGTAGGTAGGTAGGTAGGTTTCTTTATTTGTGCCCATAGGTCAAAAGTAAAAGAGTCAAGTTGTTTCAACTTACCAGACTCAGGTGGAAGAAAATAAGGATAAGGAAAATAAGCTGTGCAGTAAATAATGATCCCAAATGTCCTTATTTCTTCTTCTTCTTGTCCCTTTGCAACTTAAGTGCATATATACCTGCTTATGTTGTGGGCTTGGCAAAGGAGGCCCACTTGCTGACCAATCAGCGTTAGGCATTCTGCCACCAGACCCTCCCAGTTGTCGTAAGGATGAGACGTGCAGAAGATGAATGAAAGTCCGTCCGCTGAATTTCACTTCATTCTTTCTAACAACAATCAGTTTTCTAGGATGTGTCACGGTCTGATGTAAGCTGGGATGTTCGTACAGTCTGCACTGGTATGACTGGCAGGACTGTGCAGTCATTGAGAGGAAAAACAAGATGTCTTTGCACCTCTCGCTGTCATGATTAAGACATAATATTTTAATCAGTATTGTTTGATAGAAAGCGTGTAAAAATGTGTTTTCCCTAAAGCTCATTACATAATTTGACCCTCTTCTCGCCTCCTCTGAGACCACCCATGACATTTTTTACACGATGTCCTTTGCATGTTCTCTCCCCTCTAAAGGAATTGCACACACTGCTGGCATTACCAAAAGAGTCACTACTATTTTGGCCCCGATCTTCAGCTACCAAAAGCGGCCTCCGTGAGCAGCCTCCGTGTGGACGGTTCAAACCTGAACGATCCGGTGTTTCCGAGAGTGTGACTTGCTGTCCCTGCATAAGTGGAAGAAAGTGCTTTAAAATCACTGTCTGCCAGGTTGCAAATATCCATATAACAAGTGTAAATAAAGTGGGTTTAAATATGTTGATTTGCACATGCTAGTAAAATGACAATGCTCTTGTATTTTTTATTGCATTTATTTAAAATTGTGTCCTTAGATGATTAGTTTGATGGTGTTCTACTTTGTGATAGAGAACCATGCCAGCCCTCTGACCAATGATATAACCTGGCCCGCTGCACGACTAGAGCCTGGGGTGAGATGACCGAGGCTCAGTTCCAGCACCTGCTTATGTGCTCAGGGTCGCCTCAGAAAGATCATGCGACGTTATTCTTCCTCATGGGCCTATTATTGCCACAGTTAGGACAGTAACACGCTACCAAACAATAGTACAACAACGAAGCCCTTCGAATAAGTAAATACATTTTAATATTAGATAGTTGATCAACATTATTTTTTTTATTTCAAATAAACATTATATTTGTGGTGGCCAAAGTTAGCTGCTGATGTTATTGAAAATATTACATTTCAACTATATTATAGTTAATGGCCAATTTATCAGCTAAGGTCACTGACATTTTTGTAGGCAATGCTGGCAGGTAAAGTAACTGTAACTATTTAATTTCATAACAATTTTAAAATGTCCAATTCTGTCCATTATGAATTTTAAATTTGTATTGCACAGAATTAGCAGCTAATGTTACTGTCACTTAATATTAAAGTTCCTCTCCAGACATGTTTTAAAATAAAAAGTGAATAAAAAATCCAAAACTGTTAGCACACGTACACTCACTTTCTCATTGAAAAATCTGTATCAGGGGTTGTGCCCCGGTCACCCTCGCTGCTCGCGCTCGGGTGACAGGTGAAATATAAATGCTATCAGTGTAATTAGCGTAGGAGACAGGAGAGACTCAGCCACATGTTCAAGCCTCAGTCAGACCAGACTCAGGACTTTTTGAGGAGTTTGCTGTGCATCAAAATCGGCGACTAGCAGACGTATCAGAACAGTTGGCGTTGTTAGGATCTTTTATTTGTTTTGGCTGTTTGTTAGTTAGCAACTGGCAGTTGCTGACACAGTGCTAATGATTGTGCTAATGCACACTCTCGCTACCTACCATAGTAGTTAAGTGTACAGCAAATTCCACGGTGGAGAGGCTGAAGGACGAGGGTTAAATTATGATGGTTTGTGGTTAAATTGTGCACATACATTATTATTTTTTGATTTTATATGATCTTAAATAATTTTAATTCATCAGATTGAATAAAGTTGTGTCTTGTCTTGTCAGGTTCGAAATGAAATCACTGAAAATGGACAAGAGCTTGTGGCAAATAAACCTGGTTGGATATTTATCTTTCTGTCTGATGACCCCTTGATCTGGTAAGATGTACCATGTAGCAATGGAAACCATGGGAGCACATAGCCTCAGTGCAGTCATTAAGTCATTAAGGCTGGAGAGCTGGTCACTTTACTTGCAATTACCAGGTATTGTGTATGACCTAATCATAAATGCTATTACATCCAAATAATGACACTTTCTAGCATTTGTGTCTTTATTACCTCTTCTTGAGGTGAAAACTGACCTTTTATTTTGCTGGTCTATGCACAGATAATGAAAGTGGTGGAGGAGGACAAAGTTTCCTCAGTAGTCACATCTTTATACCTACAAAAGAGGACCTATTATTTTCCAAATTTTCCTATATTGTGATAAATAGCTTTTTGTGTATCTCCAAAGTCGCAAGGCTCAAAGTACACACTGTTGGGGCAAAATTTACTTTCTCATTTACATGAAATGCCTTGCCAGGGGCCGTGGCCTTACTTTCTAGACCTGTTGATGTCAGTACGTCCCTCAGTGCTGCCCACATGGAAGCAGCACATCATACAACTACTTAAAATGAAGGCCAGGAAACGTTTTGCTAGTTTAGGAGCAATGCTGTAAAGACACAATGTTCTCAATTACCTGGAGAAATATTTTGTTTGCTCTGCCAACGGCAGAACCACAAAGAACTCAGTGGCTGGAATTCATTTTTACTACAGTTCTCTCCACTGTTCCAAACACTTTATTGTGTGCCCTGCACTTCAAAGATTTTTATAAAAAAAAGTGCACAGTTCGATAATGGATTTTCGCAATGGTTGTATCTGAAGGACGGGGCAGTTCCCACTTTATGTTGCCCAACAGGAGAGTCAGGCTCACAACCTGTAAGTGTGCATTATTTTTTGTAGATTTAGGATGTTTAAGCAGGTCGCCGGCGACCTGATCACGTTAGTGGAACACGCACAAAGATAAATGCTTAAATGTTTGTCTATATTATGCTATACCTTGGATAAATTATCCACAATTTAACCATTCAGTTCATTATTCAGAGAGGGGAGGGGGGCCTTAAAGAGCTCTGACCTCTAACAAATCACCATCACAAATTCAGTGTTGATTTGAATTGAATGAGTTACACTTATGTTACCTCCCAGCGATGCCAACTAAGAAAGAAGTATGATTAGAAAAAACAAACATTAAACAATGATTCTAAAGTGAATGAAAAATGATAAAAGGTGAGTAACCTTAGCTGCTAAATTGGCCGTGGATTATGTACATCTGGACAAAAATCTTATATTTTCAATAACATTAGCTGCTAACTTTGGCCACCACAAATCTATGTTGCGATAAAAGGACAAAGGTCATTAACATTAGCTGGTAATTTAGTCTTCAAGGTTCCAATGAGATGATGAAATGAGAAAGTCTGTGTTACATTAGCTGCCATGTTTGGCGATTAAACAATTTTCCTATTAAAATGAAAATCTGTCAATAACTTTAGCTTCTAAATTTGGCCATCAAACATAAAATGAAAATGTTTCAACAACTTAAGCTACTAAGTTTGGCCTCCAACAATGTAATGTCAAGGAAAAAGAGGAAAGTTACAGTAACATTAGCTGCTTATTCTGGCCATCACAAGTATTGATTTAAAATGAATTAGTTAGTTACATTACCTTCCAGCATAGTCTATTAAGAAAAAGGAAGTATGTTAGAAAAAACAAACATTTAAATTATTCTAAAGTGAGTGCAAAATGATTAAACGTCAGTAGCCTTAGCTGCTAAATTGGACATTGATTATGTTCATCTGGAAAAAATATATTTTCAATAACATTAGCTGCTAACTTTAGCCACCACAAATCCATGTTGACATAAAATGAAAAAGGTCATTCATCAAAAATTAAGGGGGAAAATTTAAATCACACATCAGATCCTAATGAACGAATTATTCAAGTTGAAAATCTTTACTGATGTACATTGTATAATTTGTTGAGAACAAAATGATGTAACAATGGAAACCAAAATCATCAATGAATTAAGGGCTGGATTCACGATCACACCGAAAATCAAAGCAAAAATTGAAATCACAGGCGGATCCAGCTTGCGTGAATTTCATAATGGCAACTCATAATGTGACTCAGTAGTATGTATGGCCACCGCATGCATTTATGCACTCCCGACAATGTCTGGGCATGCTCCTGATGAGTCAGTGGATGGTGTCCTGGGGGATCTTCTCCCAGACCTGGATCAGGGCATCAGTGAGCTCCTGGACAGTCTGTGGCGGTACTTGCCGGCGTTGGATGCAAATACAGCAAACCTTCTTGCGACCGCACGTATGGATGTGCCATCCTGAAGGAGCTGGACTACCTGTGCAACCTGATTGGGCTGCAGGTACCGCCTCATTCTACCAGTAGTGATAAGGACACTAGCAAAACACAAAACATTCACTTGTGCTTCCTAAATAGACAGATTGATATCCCTGAAGTTTAACTGACTTGGTGTTATACTGTATAGTGTTCCCTAAATATTTTTGGGCAGTGTATAATATTTTCATTAGCATTAGCAGCTTATTTTGGCCACCACAAATCTATGTTGAGATAAAATGAAAAAGCTTGCTAACATTAGCTGGTAATTTGGCCCTCAATGTTCTAATGAGAAGATAAAATGAAAAACATTAGCTGCTAGGTTTGGCTATCAAACAACTGAATGAAAAGTTTTTAATTAATTTAGCTATAGAAATTCAAGTTATAGTCAAAATTTCATGAAAGTCAGTTTTATTAGGCATTACATGACCACCATAACACTCCCACCTGCACAGACATCTTTCTCCCTTTGCTGAGAAAGAACAACTGTTTATATTGCCTGTCTCTTCTGATCAATTAGCCTGGGCAGAACCAAACTTCATTCAGGGGATGTAAGTCTATCCTATTTAAAAAGATTAATTGACAAAAGTTACTATTATCTGTAAACTTCAATGGTACAAACAATATGTAAATCGTAATTTTCTAAACAAACTGTATAATCGCTCGAAATCAGACAAATAATTATTAACACAGTATTTTCAACTTATGACCACCCCCACAGTCATGGCATAAGCTGTGACATCATTGATGACATCAGCAAGAGCATAAAAGAGGGAGGTTTTTGGCTGCCACCCCCTTCACATCAGCTGTTTTTGTGTTATTTCTGACTGTTAATTGATCAGTAATCACATATGATTTCCATAACCTCATGGTGGACATGCTGACAAATAAAACGCTGTTTTAGACTGAGAAACCATTAAACAATTATCTTAATTCAATTTTATTTTAAGTTTTAATTTTGGGCATTTTGCCTTTATTGTGACAGTATAGTGAGAGATAGAAAGGAAAGTCAAGGAAAGGAAGAGAGGGGAGGACATATAGCAAAGGGCCGTGGGTTGGATTCAAAACCATGGCCACTGAGGTTAGGACTAAGCCCATGTGGTACATGTCCTTCCGGGTGAGCCACTGAGACGCCCATTAATTCTACTTTTAAACAATCATCTTAGAATATTGTAAGCATAAAAAGTGTTAAATGCTAAAACTGTAATAATTTAATTTTGATAACTGATGTGTATATATAATTATCTACAAATACAAAAAGTGCAGTGGCTGTTATTTTAGATTAAGTGGCTGCCAGGAATTGACAAGCAAGAGAAAGTAGAAAACAGAATTGAAATAAAACTGAAAAATTAAGGAAATCAGGGTAAAGCTAAAATGGAAACAATGACAGGATTATTTTTAAGACTCTTTTCTGAAGCTAGTTTTTGTTGTTTACAGTTTCATACACATTTTCATCTAACTATTCAGTATTCCCAAAGGGTATCTCCCCATTTCCTTCACTTGCATTCTTTCCCTGACCCATCATCTGGAGCAACATCAGTTTCTAGTGATGACAGCACAGCTGGCTCACAGCTGGATCAGCTATCAGTCTGCAGGTGTTAAGAGCTTTTTTATGCTTTGGAGTTTGTAATTGCATAGATAAAATGATGCACTGTCAAAATAATTAGTATGGCCAGTGAAGTGCTGCAGTGACGCCCTTCAACATGACAAAAGTGACTGTGAAATATATTGAATAAACTGTTTGACAGCAGCTGCACATTCATGAAAAACATTCTATTTTCTATTCTATTTATTATTTCTATTTCTAAATTATTAGTCCAAACTATATAAAAAATAACCTTTAGATTTAGTTTACAAAGACTGATTCTGAATACAAATTTAATTTGTTTTCTGTTCACATATTTGCATTTGGCCATACTAAATGTTTATACAATGTTTGCAATCAGTGGTTTTTGGTGGTCCAACTTTTTTTTGCAATTTGATACTTCCACAAAATAAGCTTGATAACTTGATCAAACAATTAAGGTATGCTAGCATTTAATTGGCAGAGACAGCAAGGACTATCAGGAGGCTCACGTCATGTACAAGTATCGCACTTACTGACCAACACGAAGGAGCAGAGAGCAGATCTGTGCACGTGAAAGTTATCAGTGTCAGTCCAGAGGTAGTAGTAGGTAGGTAGGCAGTAAACTAACCAACCAGCAGCCACTGTTATTCAAAATGAAAACCTGTTACCTGCCTAACATCACCAAACGTACATTATTAAATTGTACTGATATCAGTAGGTTATCAGCATTTTTCTGTCATAGCAGGTCAAGGTGGAGCTGGTTTTAAAATCAAAATCCAGGGGAAAAGGGGAGTTGCAGCAGTGGTAGTACTACTGAATATACATGTAAATATGTTGTCGGATGCAAAAGTGCTAAAATATTGTTTGATTTTTCTCTTTTCCGTTAAGTTATTCCCTGAAGTTTATTTTAGTTATATTTTTGATCTGTTACAGTGTATAGTTTTCATTTAAATGTAAATACATATCTTAATGTAAATACAGATATGTGAAGAAAACCATTTGCTTGACAGCATTAAAAAGTCCTTTTTGTTTTGGAAGGGTTGTTGTGTCCCTACCAATGTTGAGACCAAACCTATGCCCTTAAGGGAAATAAATGGTGTCTGGCCAAGTGTCTTACTTCTTCCAAAACTGTATGTAGGTCATTCTGTCAAGTGAGGTTGTGCATACTGTCAAGTGGGGGAAAAAGCTACGAGAACTAGATAAAATTAGCTGCCTTGATTTCAAGCACATTCATTACTACTTTTTCTTTTCTTTTCTAAAATGTGTAGAAACCAATATAATAAACAACCACAGTTGTGTAGACAAATATTAATTGTAATATGTAACAGGACACCCCAGTGTTGACATGTTGGTGACTTTATGACAATTTATGTGACACTAAAAACTTCTGTGCTTTTATCACATCTGATGTTTTGACTTGTCAGAGCAGGGAAAGCACAGGTGGGGCCAGTAACCTTAACAATGACTCCACACCATTTAAATGTCCCATTAAGAGCCATACCAATCAGGCACCCAAAACTGGCACAACTTAAAGCAAATCAGCCTTCATAAATACTATTAATTACATGTCTCTTCTTCCTGCTGTTTTATACCAAAATGGCTGCTGTGAAAAAGGCCTATTACAAGACTTGAGACTTTTTGTTACTTTGCAGGGAATTACACAACTACTGGTGTCAAGGGCAAAGGATTCTCTGTAAAGGATTGTTACACCATCTGCTGGTGAAGAGCTGAACATTTTTCAGAGCTCATGAGTTGCATCAGTCTGCCTCATTTCCTGGTGTTACTAGACAGCCTGCTTATGTCTGCAAATTTCCTGTAAATTATGATTGTAGTCTCAATCTTCAGGGTCAGAAATAGTCATTGATACATAAGTTATCTAAACTCACCATTAAGGCTGCAATTAATTTTGGAAATATAAATACTTAAATAAATAAAGACTTCAAATACTTGCAGGGGTGTTCAGTGTAGACACCGTGCTTTTTATTATTCAGCATGAGTTAGTCCTGCCCAATATATAATATAGTCTATGTCTTTTTCCCCCTATAATTTGACTAAGTGTCTGCAGTGATTAAGGTGTATTGCTGGGTCAACACAAGTCATCCTGCCCTAGGCCAGTAATATTGTCTTTGTGTGAGTACATACTGTGTCTTCTGTACATTTCTACTGCTGTAATACCACTTAGGGACACACTGCTTACTCTAACCAAATGCCCATTCCAAAAACCTATACGCTGTGTCGTGAGGCCTTTGTAGCCATTGTAGACCGCGAAGGCCAAACCGAAATGAGACGGTCTTGCCTACAGAGGATTTGCACACAACAGTTGTTATCTGGTCAGCTGCGCTGGAACCCAGCACTTACATTTAAAAGTGTATTGTTTAGACTCTTTCGGCATTGTTTGCCGCCATATTATTTTCATTACTGGGGTGCAATGAATCTTGGGATAGGTTGAACCACGAATGATGACCCAATGACCGATTGGATCCAAGCTTTCATTGCTGAGGAAAGCAAGGCGGCCCCTGAATTGGGACACAGGTAGTGACTTTGGGATGAGGGAACCTGTATCAAATCAGCCCTTGTGGTGCACCAGTAGGTGCCCCTTTTTCACCTTCACCCCTGACCTTACAGAGTCCATGAATGCCTCTGACCGGAAAGTTACCAAACATTTACTTTGAATTCCATTTTCGTCCCACTTTAAATTTTTTTTTCTTTTTTAAACACTTTATATTTGAAAATGCTCCACTTATCAGACAGGACATAACATGAAACATCTTCTCCAGGTATGAGTATGTACAGAATTCCACTTTTTAAATGGTTTGTAAAACCAAAACAAATCATAACCGAGTGCTACATTCACTGACTACTATTCTGTTCCTGACTCAGGCTCCCACAGACCTTCATGCCTCCCTCTGCACAGCGCTCAGAAATCCGCTATGGCAACAGGGGAAAAAAGACACGAAAAAAAGGAAAAGATTTGACAACATGGCGCACTTTCCTTGAGAAAAGTTTCTCCAGGACGCCACACAGCTCCGTTTTTGTGGATTTTCCTCGCTGTTTATCGACACCTGCACTATAACGTGGACTTCTTGGCTGCATTTTGAACACCTCTTGATGCATAAACAGTCGATAAAACAGTTAACAAGGAGTGTGATGGGATGAGAGCGATAACCCGCCGCACAAACCAAAGCAGTCAGACAGGATGGAGAAGCAAGCGACTCTGAAAGAAAAGGTAAATAGATTAAAAACTACTCCACACACTGTCGTATGACCTGCCATTTTTGTAGTTGTTGGTATTTTATTGCCTCCTGAATAGCACTTTTTACCTCGCGTCCTGGACAGGAAATACCAAATGACCAATCCTGCGAAAACCTCGTAAAAGACCTCTATCGATTTTCCAGTCATGCATACTGTATTGTACTGCACAGCATATGTGTGGGCTCAACTGTCGCAGACAATATCCAACTTAAATGTGATCTGATGACAGTGGAAGATCATACAGATCACAAAATAGGCTGTAAACCCAAACCACACTTATATTGTTATTGCATGAACAGAGAGGCTTGTACTGCCAAATTCCTTCAGGCAGCAAGTTTGTGTGTATTGCCATGAGTAAATCCACATAATTCCCCAACAAAACGGTAAACATGTGCAGTCCAGACTATATTTGCCTTTGGAGACTTGAGTTAATCTCTCACTGTCTGTCTCCTTATGATTAAGTTGGTAGGGTGTCCTCTGTATTGGACTAGGCTTTCATTATCTCTCCACCCTTCCTGCCCAGTGCTGCCCACATACCGTAGGCATCCCCCAGTATGTTGTAGCAGATGAGACAGCACAGATTGGACCTTCCTGTAAAATTGCTCTGATTAGTTCCCTTCGATCTGATCCCTTCTAACTAGCTGATTTAAGCTAAGGCTTGTTTGAAGGATAAACCTGCATGCATGCACTTGGGCCCATGGAAGAACTAATCTATAATAGATGCTTTTCCTGACATTTCTTTAAGAGCAAGGCTTTGAATGTCAGTATTTGTGACAGTGCTGTCAGCTGCGGTGTGGACGTCACCCCCTCAGTCTGTTTGTACATTTCTGAGAGGTGGGTTGCCTCTCATGGCACTCACAGCAATAAAGCCAGCAGTTAACACTTGTTTTAAAACCTTTGTGCACATATCCCACTGGGTTACCGTAACTGTTGGTGAAGCATAAATGACCTTTTCCTGATCTACAAGTGTTGAATTGGCTATTAGAGGCACAATATAAAACACAGGACCAGCCAAAGTAAAGCAGGCATTCAATCATTTCCGAATTGTTGTCATGAAGATTGAAAAGATTATTTAATGGTTATCACAAATAGAAGAACTAAAAAATGTGGGAAAGATGAAGGTCAAAGGGTGCAAGAAAGCAACTGATCGGTACCGCACTATAACTTGATGTTGAATCTACTTGATACCCAAAGCCCTCATGTCTGCTGCTGCTACTCCCTGGGCCTCTGGAAGTAATTACCAAGCCTGCCCTATCCCAGAATTCAGTCCGAGGAGGTGTGGTGAGAAAGAGGTATAATGGAAGCTGGCCCAAAAAACATGCAACCTGAGATGAATTTCATGATTCACTAATACTCAGCAAACCGTCCACGTTAAATGGACACGGCACCTACTTCATCAATCGGACTTTATTGGTTGGCTGCAGTTACAGTGAGACTTAAATCAATATGATAATTGGTTTGCATTCAAATGGTTTGCCTGCCAGTTGGTTCAGCAGTGCAACAAGTTGAATATGAATGGGTATTATAATAGATTCAATCCCACATTAATGCTTGCGGCATTGCTCTAAGGCAGGTATTATCTTGGTTGTGGTGGGAGATTTATCAGTGTAATCAAGATGCCTTTATTAGGCTGAACTTTACATTGTTGTTGTGTGTCGAAACCTCTGTGTAGAAGAATAGCAAGAAAATGGCTGTGAACATCAGAGTAAATACAGGCTTTGCTAAAGTCCTACCCTGTTTTAAACCTTGATGAGTCGGTCCTTTGTACACAAAGGTGAGTTAACCATAGTACGTGAGCAAAATCAGCAATTTCTCAACAGTCTCATTTTAGAAAAAAAAACAAAGCGTTTAACAACAATAATTCAACACATTATTGTGGAGACGCTTTTAAAACTATTGTCATGACAGAATATACCCCAAAAGATAAATTGATTGTCCATTTAGTGTTATATTAATTATCTAATATTTTAGAGTGGGATATGGAGTGGATTTTATATGCTGTGTCTCTGTGCGAATCTTTAACCTATAAAATTAACAATTAAAATAACTTTCGTACAGTTATATTGCTCATATCCTCTCTGGTTTTTACAGACATTTCTTTCCCAGCTGACATTGACTTGTCACAACAGGAAAATTACAGGCAGAATAAATAACGATGGCTCATTAGTTTAGTGTTCCAGAAAGACATAGGAGTGAGCTAGCGTGCACAATACGAGGGTCCTGTAACTGGCAAAACTAAATGGAGTTCACCAATTACTAATGTTATTAATGACAACCGTGCTTTGCCTGCTATCCATCCATGCATCCATCCATCCATCCATCCATCCATCCATTATCTGGACATTGGGCAAGGGCGGGGTTCACCCTGGACAGGTTGCCTGTTTAAGGCAGGGCTGACATATGAAGACAAACAAGCATTCACACTCTCATTCACACCTATGAGCACTTTAGAGTTGCCAATTAACCTAATGCATGTTTTTGGACTGTGGGAGGAAGCCGGAGTCCCCACAGGGAGAACATGCAAACTCCACACAGAAAGGCCCAAACTGGGGTTCGACCCAGAACCTTCTTGGTGTGAGGTGACAGTGCTGACCACTGCAGCACTGTGCCGCCTTGCTTTACCTGCTATGACAAGTCAAAATTCCTGCTGTGAAAAATGTCTATTGATCTCAATCATCACATGGGACCACAGTATACATGTTTTCATTGTTTGTCATACACTTTTTCAGAAAGACCCTTCACATGTATACATCAATATTCCCTACCACTTGAGCTGCATATTCTAACTACTGTATAATCAGGTAACACTGGCCAATATATCTCTACAGTAGAGCAGTTTGGTATAAAAGTAAAACTACTGAAAAGTAAGGCATTGCTCAAAGGCATTCCTAGCATTTAACTGTAAAAATATTTTTCAGTCACACTGATTATAGCCCTTTCATTCCTCTCTGTCTGTTTCTCTAGTTTTCAATCTTCGGCTCTCGGACAGTGGGCAGACCTATCCGATGTGTTCCTGGAGACGATGGGACCAGGTATGGTCTCAGCAAAGCAGAGTTCATGGAGAAAGTGCAGCAGAGCAACGAGGCTTGTCAGCGCGGTGACTTCCAGGCGGCCGTTCATTTGTACAGTGATGCCTTGCAAGCCGACCCACAGAACTGCATCCTGTATAGTAACCGTTCAGCAGCCCTTCTCAAACTGGGACATCACCAAGCGGCTCTGGATGATGCTGAAAAAGCTTGTGAGCTTAATCCCAAATGGCCCAAGGTAAGTGATATTGTAGATCTTAAATGATTGGCTTTTCTCAAGTGCACCAATGGAGTGTCATCGCCAAGAATTGTAAATCTCAAACAAATCTAATGTGGTGGCTCTGATGTCCACAGCATTGGCAATTTCATCTTTAATGATCAGGAATTAGTTGCACAGATTGAAATGGGGACATGCGGCAATTTTAAGTATGTTTAATAAAAAATGATTTTCGTTGTGTTGCTGATAAAAGTGACATTTTGTCCATATAGTAGGTAATAATAGAGCAGTAGGTAATAAGGCAGTACCGTAGTTGTAACATTGTTATTGTACTATAAATTATTTTTATAGATGACTTATCTTCAATTCAAAGTGTCTAAAATTCGAGTCACATTTTCACTCCTCAGTTACATTCTCGTGGCTGCTGATCGATACAATTTTCTGGGGTCTTGTCTCTGATCTTGTCCAGGCCATGTGGACTAACCTGCGATAGATTTCACATTACTCAGCCACAGAGATCACTAGGAGACCAATTCCTCTCAGTGATAGAAATGCATTGATTTCACGATTTAGCATGGAGAGATACTTTTGTCTTTTGAGAGAGAGATTGATGATAATGTGGTAGAGTGGTATTGATGATAATTTGTCGCTACCAATGATGCATCAGTGGCCACCTCTTCTTTGATCTGAGGTCATGCATCTTCGGATGCTAAGGTAGGTTTCCTCCTCTGTAAAGATGTGGCATTGCATTGACATTGAGACTGTCACTTTTTATTACACAGACAATGTTGTGTGCTTGCTGCAGTGTCCCATAGTATATGGACTTTTCAATAGTAAAAGAATAGTAAAACTGTTATGAATGAATGCCTGTCACAAATGTAGTCCTGTTAACACCTCCTTTTTTTTTTTTTTGGTTATTCATATTCTTGTTATTATGAATATGCAGTTGCTGTCCAGCTGTTATTTTAGATATTTTTCAGTACAATTACTCTTCTTTGTCATTTGACATTTCCAATTCCACAACAATAGTCTCATTTCTTCACATCTCACTCTGTAGCATCTGAGCGTTAATATAGAGTACATCTCTTTCTTTCGGGAGACATTTCATAACCTTTTGAGGCCAGTGAGGCCAAACTATAACTGAAAATCACTGCCAAAATCATTCTCCTTTCTCCTTTTTATATGCTATCCAAGTACAATGAACTCTTTGTGGTCTGACTGGGGGATGGTTGGCTTAATCTCAGCAGTGTAGCTCTGCTTATTCTAGGATTTACTGCCTGACAGTTTGGACTCTCATGCTTAAGTTTGTGTTAGCAGACTGTGTGTCTGTGTATAGCCTGACCCTTGTGTTGGTAACTTGGTAACATGAAACAAAGGGATTAATGTGTCTGTGGTATTGACAAAAATACAGAGGGCTGCATCCTAATGTTTTAAATTAAGTTTCTTGAATCACCACTAGGGGTCACTCTTGTCAAACAAGAAGGAATTTGAAGTGTTTTGTCTGTGCAGGACAAAAAGACATTCATGCAATTTAATTTCCAAGATTTTATTTTATTTTTTTTACATTCAGTGGGTTCAAGGAAATCCTAATGTTTCACCTCTATGGTAGAAATGTGCTTACAGCCACCAAGGAGAATTTCGTGGGAGGTGGGTTTTCTACTTGATAAATGCACTGGTGGGCCAAGGTCACAACAAATCCATCTTCCATTTTTTTTTCTCTGATATGTCAAGAAAAAAAAGAGACACTTAGCACAAACTAAATTCTGGTTTTCTGATTAGAATTTGATAATTTTGCATTTTCAAATCCACTTTGTATAGCGGATATGAATGAATAGTGATTTGAATCCTGTATTCAGTTAGTGCTGCCTCAAAGAACTGATTAGTAATGGGGGTCTAGACACTAACAGCGTTGGCCTCGGGGAAAGAAAGATTTGTCGTTGTACAGTCCATCTGCTATGCCTGGATGTTTGATGAAGGAACAGGGATTAAATCATAGTAGTGTGCTGGCATTCAGATCCTGCGTGAGTACATAATATCATCAATCATACCTCCCTATGACTGCACTCCTGGACTCGCGCGTCAAACAGTGACAGGCATGGTTTTGCTGCCCCAAGCGCCAGCGAGCAGCCCACCCTCCTGAAGCCCACAGCCAGCCTGCGAAGGAGCCCCCTGTCTAATCTGTCAGCTTTCCCTGTCGTAAGTGCCAGGAAACACATTCTGAAAGAAGAAAGAAAATGTGTGGTTTAATGACCCAAGACAGCTTTAGGCCCTTTGTACCCCACCCTCTTACTGAATATAAAAAGCTTAAATGAGAACAAAATAGGGTGTCATTTCATAGACAGGGGGGCCACACTTGTGTGTGTCTGTTCACATTTTGTCTCTATGAGCCAGTGTGGGAGGGAAACTGGGAGAAAATGTGTGGTGTGTAATCAAGCTTTCATGTGCATGATTAATTTTTAAGTACAATAGGAGTGATACTGTAGCAAACTCTTAAACTTTAATTAACCCTTTAAATGGGCATATGTCATCTGCAGTATGTAAGATGGAGAATGCTTCAGCATCTATTTGCAGTGAGTATTTTACGATTCTGTGTTGCAAGTGCTTTTTAGGCATATACAAGTGACTTAGAGGACAATACCCTTTCTAGATGGATTCCCTGTCTACTCTGCTCTTCCATCTGCTCCCTCCCTCTCAACACGGCTGTTCCAGTGACATGTTAAACAAACAGCCCTTTCTGCTATCACTCCCATTCTTCTGCTTGAGCGCTGACAGGAGAGTTCCCAGGGAACCAGAAGACAACTGGCACTGCAATGTCAGGGGAAACATCTCTATCATTTGCATATCTTCTGATTATAGGTTATGATGGTGCCTATCAAGGGTATTCTGTCTCTTCAAGTGTTAATTGCCAAAGTTGCTGCCGACACCCACTCATAATGATGGGTGAAACCCATCAAGCCTCATTTCTCAGATGGGCCTGTACATTTTTTTTTCAGTGCATGCCATTGCTTGCATACATTTTTCTTTTTCGCAAACATAAAAATGTCCATTTACATCCCGGTAGAGGGGCCTTGGGTTTAAGTGAGACAATGAGTGTTTGCCTTGGAAAAGGTCATGGTGTATGGAGAGCTGAAAGGGGACTTTAATTACAGCAGCAGCATATCCAGTAATTGTGTAAGGAGTGTATGCTGACACCTCGAAGAGGCATAAAGCTTCTTTTACCTGCAGAGTTGGGCGATTACACTGGCTTTTGCTGTCACTGTGCTTGGAACAGGAAGAAAAGAATTATGTGTGTTATTGAAGACCTCATCCTTTGCCACTCTCAGCAGTGCTCTGCTTTTCATGTGGATGAAAATCACTGGGTTGTAATGCTCCCCTGTTGGTATGACAGTCCCTTAAACCAGCTCTCATCTGATCTCGGTGTGTGAAAAGAATAAAGAACCTGTCTTTTGATCTCATGTGGAGAGTGGTTATAGCTCTTGTACCTTTCTTACTGCTTTCATTTGCACCATCTGAAATATTTATCTCAACATTTTGGTGACCTATCCTGTTATTCTGACACATGCTGAATAATGAACTGAAAACATCACAGTGAAGCAACAGTAAGTAGGCTAAAATAAGTGTGTTTTTGTGTTTGTAGAGCAGAGAACATGTAGGTGGCCTGTTTGTTTTAATGCAGTATGATAACACCGAGTTATATTATCATTTGTATTATTGTAATGTAGTGTTTGTATTCTTTTACATAGTTTTCTCTGAAATTGTCTTGCAATGCTAAAGCTGTCAGTCATCCTGTATGGATGGAAAATGTCTGTCAGTCATTGTCAGTTGTTCCAACACTTTGGTCCAGACTGAAATATCTCAACAGCTATAAGATGGATGCCACGAAACATTGTATATACATTTATAGTCGTCAGAGGATGAATCCTACTGACTTTGGTGATCCCCTGACTTTTCCTCTAGCACCACCATGAGTTTGATATTTACAATTTTGAGTGAAACATCTCAAGAGCTATTAAATGCATTGCCTTGAAATCTGGCATTCATGACATTTATGGCCCCCTTAGGACAAATAGAAACAAGTTTGGCGATCCCCTGACTTTTCCTCTGGTGCCATTATCAAGTCAGAATTTTAATCTGTTGAATTTTGCTGGTATTTGGTTATAAACCGAAACTAATGACATTCGCATCAACTTCAACTTTGCTTTGTTTTTTATTGTGAACATGGTGAACATTGTACCTGCTTAACATCACAATGCATTGTCATTGTGAGCTTGTTAGCAGGCTGCCGTTAGGTCGAAAGACCGCTGTGCCTTGTGGAGCTGCTAGCATCACTGTGGACTCAGTTTTGTAAAGCAAAACATTCAAACAACAAAAATATCTTACATTTTCTGTCTTCACTCTTCTGTGCAGGTTTAGATTTCAGTCACAACAATTCAGTCTGTGAATGAACGCTGCTGACTGTTTAGAGCACATATATTTCCTCGCTAACAACGAACAAATTAAAAGAATAAAGACAGAACTCTGAACTCTATGTGTATGTTGGGACCATTTCTATGCATCAATGAATATTTATAATATACCTCGATGCATATTTATGATTAGCATGATCTGGTTTGATTTGAAAGAACTGAATGCAGCTGACATCAACCTGCATACCTGCCTGTAGTTATGAATAAATAGTCATGAAATATGAATGCCTCTCTAGTTAGTCATGAGACTACCGATAGACAGCAGAGACTCATTATGATGTTGTGCAGAGAAAGTTGCTCACCAGGTAGAATTCTCAAATCAGATGCATTGTGTCTCGCCTTTTTGTGCTCTCAGATTATTGGGTTGTAGTGAAAAATGGGGCACAGGAGCTCATCTACAACTGCACATCCTTCACAAGTCCCTGCTACACAGACGAGGAATATTTTGTGAATGTAATTGTCAGAAGTAATGACTGATGACTTTCTCAAGTTATCAGAGGAGATCAGACGCTTAATCTTGGGAGCAGAGGAGTTCCATCCATCCATCCATAAAAA